TATATATATATTTTTTCCTTGAATATTCATTTAAGTGGATTAAGAAATATGGAGGTTTTTTTAAAGATTTATTTATGCATGCAAGAACTGGGGTACCAGTCAGAGGTGTGGGAGGGTGAGAGGATTCACCAGAAACAGAGTAGGGAACAGAATAGGCAGACAGACTGAAATACACTGTTGAGGGAGCAGCTGGCAAAATAGGAGAGGTTTGTTGTGCCATGTGGGTATCTCCTTGGCCGGCCAGGGATGGAACTCGTGCTGCAGAGTCTGTAGACAGCTCCACAGTGCCACCAGGGAGGCCTGAAATTTGGAGCTTTTAAAAAGTAAAATGTAGCTACATTTTTTTTTTTTTTGCATAGTACTGAAAATATTAGAAATGGTGTACTAAATGTTATATTTAACATAGTAAGACTATAATTACAAATAAAATCAATCATGACTACATTATCATGATCTATAAAAAATATAAATTGATTCTGCTTTTAGTTAAGATTATCTTTGTTGGGCCTCTCTGGTGGCGCAGCGGGTTGAGCACTGCACTGTGAAGCTGTCTGCAGCCTCTGCAGTGCGGGTTCTATCCCGGTTTTCCAGATGGCCAGCGAGAACCCACATGGCGTGGCAGACCTCTGGTATTGCACCCGCTGCTCCCCTCAGCAGTGTATTTCGTCAGTCTGCCTCTTCTGCTCCCTGCTCTGTCTCTGGTGAATCCTCTCACCCTCCAGCGCCTCTGGCCTGTATCCCAGCTCTTGTATAAAAATAAATAAATCTTAAAAAAAAAAAAAAGATCTTTGTTAACTAGTTAATTATTCAAGATAAGAAACAATTTTTTTTTCATAGAAAACCTTTGGCAACATGGTTTATGCACTGGGCAGAAGAATTCTTAATAGTGTAAACATGGACTTAATCCTGCCCACGCTACAGACACTAATAATGTGTTTTTTTAATTGAGATAAAAAGGGTAGACAACACTGTATATGATTTATGGGAATGTTCACACCTCCTCAGATATTTGACTCCATACACACTCACCACCACAGCACCCATTGTTCTTTAGCACAGACTACTGGATGCCCCCCTCTTACTTTGTTCCAAACCCATCCTTCCTCGCCCTCTAGTAGTGCTAATGCTTTTCGAGCTAAAATAATCCAATTAAATTTTTAAGAGGAGAAGCAGGTAATCTGTTTATTGCAGAGTAGTTATTTTTATTGTAGAAGTATGTGGAAAAAATTTGTGCTGATAAATTTACTTCAAGGAGATTTTTTGATAACATACTTCCAGGTAATTTTTGCATTAAATTTGCTTTATAACATAGTATTTTGACATATTTCATTATAGACTATTTTCTAGATCCATTGCTACTTCCTTTTTAATGCATATTCATACTTGAAAAAATTATTATAAAATTATTATAATGTAAAATTGAGATTTGCTGCCAAAATGATAAAATACTAAGTTCTACATTTAGTTAATGTTATCCTAAGGGCAGATTATTGAAGTTCATTAAGAATAAATTTTTCAAGCATTAAAAGAAAACTGAATGAACAATATTCAGATTCTTAATTAAATCTCTGCAAAAGGGAATTTATTAGTAAATCTTCATGAATTTGTAAGCTTAAAGAGCTCTAACAAAATGACAAAATAAAAATAAATCTAGATGCATTTATAAAGGAATAAATTTTAATCAATTCATGAAGTTAACTTCAGAATTAAAGATGTCTGCATGTTTCAACAATATAAAAATGATAAAACTGGATTTGATTTTTCTGACTGCTGATAATTAAACTTTTTGCAGCAAAATATGCTTTGACATAAATTACCCTAATATTTTTCATGTAAACTGTCAGTAAAATGTTATTTAAAATAAAATATATATCTCTATGTTACTTATATAAAATATGTATTTTTGCATATCTGATAAAATATCTGAAAGGATTTTTAATTTTTTTGCCAGTGAGATCTCTATTAATTTAGTAGAACTAAAATAAAACTTAGCAAAAATATAGTGCATTTGTCATCCTCTCAACAAAATAGTTATGTGATTATCTGCACAAAGACACAGAGTCGATTAGTTTGAGCTCAATTTGAAGATACTTCACAATACTTTAAGTTTCATAAATAATAACCATAGTGGTGCTACATTTTACACTAAATAGTTTTAGCAATTATTGTCAGCATATAATTTGTAGTTGCAAGGGATTTTCATTATGGATAGTGTCTACACATTAATATATATTTTATATAGATCATATCACACATAAAAATAATGATAGAGATTTATAAAATTTATCTTCACATATAAATAACTAAAGTAAATAAAAACCGTAATAGAGTTCTTATTAAAAAATACATCTAATCAGTGAGAACAAGCATAAAAATTTGTCTAATTACATGTAAAGTTGTATCATGGATATTAAATTCATAGCATGAAATTTAGAATCACTTCGTGGATTTAAATGTATGCTTCTATATTTAAGATATTTTTTCAAGAGGTTCAAATTACTATGAAAAGTTTTTACAGCTAATTATATTCATAATGAGTTGTGATGAAGTAAAAACTTAAGTAAAATATTTTCAAATTAACATTCTAATTTGACACAAAAATCTAAAAATAATTCTTTAAAAACTTTGTTTTTGTATATCCATTTAGACCCACATTATATAGTTCTGTTTCTTGTTTTTTTGTGTTTTTTTATACATTTATAAGTAGTTTTTATTCAAGAAGTTATTAGAAATGTAGTGAACTCTACCTAGCAGTTTATTACAATAGATAACATTTAAATTTTTAATTAAAAAAGATCAGTTTCAGAGAAGTGTAGAAAAAGCTTGACCTTCAGAACACAACAGATCTGAGTTCTACATTGGCTGAGAGACTGGATAAATTAGTTAATCTGAACTTGAGTATGTAAGTATTAATGGAACATATATATGTATGGGAGACCTGCCACAAATCCATCTTATCAACCTATTCTATCAAAGTTCCTAAAGCCCCGGAATTATCCACGGACTGAAGGATTCGCTGGGGACTTGAGAGTTACTGTGAAGGAAATATAGGAGGAAAGGATTAATAATGCTATGCTAGCCTCAGGACTAACTTGCTTGTTTAGTGTCCATATAATCAAGAACTGATCCAAAAGATGTTACAGAATTTTCGTGGTGGTGGAGAGGGAAACAAATAACGCTAATTCCATCTAGGAAGCAGATCTGACTGGGATTGCTGGTGTTAAGTGAGTAGCAATTCAGAGAAGTAAGGGTATCTAAAACTCAAATGCCCTTTTAGATTGAAAACTTTGCTGATATTGCAACTTTCTATGACTTGAAACTTTCTGGATAGATGTGTTTTAGTAGCAGAAGAGTTAGGGTTGGGAATCATTAATTTTTCTCTTTAGTCTCCCAAATGTAGCAGCCTATCAATAGAATAAACACTGTCTCTCCATAAACTCAGCCATGAATTTTAAACAAATTAACCCTTAAATCTCCATAGTCCCCAAAGTTCGTTGTGAACACTAAACAATATTACCCACAGTGTCCTGGCAAAAACTCTAAATTTAAGCTCCTTCAGAATTTTTACACCATTGTTGTTTTTAGTAAAGATGCATCAGTTTTTGGAAATTCTTATGTTGTGTTTTTTTTTCCCTCCTGAAAACAATTTTATTGTATTTAGAGAATGCCTCATTGGGATTTAGCTTTTTTTCCTCCTATAATCTCTCTCTCACACATAAATCATATCTCATATAGTGTTTGTTTTATAAGGATTGTGGACTCCAGTCTTCCAGAATGTGTTTTAGAAAGTTGCTAAATGGAGTTCTTCTTGTGTACATTTAAAATGCATATTCAGGACATGCAAATGAATTGTAGTTCAATTAAGCATTTAAAAAAAAAAAAAAAAAAGCCCTAACTGTCCTGTTAATGAACTGCACATAGGCACTAAAAAGACATTCTATCAAGATGGGATTACAAGGATCCTGTCCTTAATTATAAGCTGTTAAGGCCATTTTCAGGTAGAAATAAAGAGGGTAACAGTTGTTCAATTAGAGGTGAACATTCATCTAGGAGAGGAAAAAAGCCTTTCTCTGATAAGACCCAGAAATCTTGTTTTTCTGCTAATGCGATTTCATACATTTTTGTTGCATGGTGGGCTGAGCAGCATTCCTGCTCTGTTGCCTCGGATGGGAATTGTTCAGCATCATGTCACACATAGCTGTGACCAGAGTCCTCATGCTGAGCACTGAAGTGATCCCATGGTTGCAGTGACAGTTGGCGGGAGAAAGCAGGAGCACACTGAGTCAGTCTCAGCCTCTTCCCATCTCTCTGCAGCCTAGCATTCTTTTCAGGTTTATTCATGAGCTCATCACTGGGGAGGAAAAAACTTTGTCTGCACTATAACATTACATTTAAAAGCTATAAATTCTACTAGGCTATAAATACTACCCCTGGTAAACACCACCTCTCATAAAATCTGTGTGCATGCCCATGTGTGAATATACTTGGATTTTCTCTCTATTCACTGCACCTTACAACTCCATTAAATCTTGAACATTCTGAAATCTAGTGGTTAAAACAGTGACAATTTTGCTCTGCTTTCTTGAAATGGAGAAGAAAGAAAATAAAATCTTTGTTTAAAACAAGTTTGTTGGTTCAATCTTCCTTTTCTTGGGTTAAGTACACATTATATACTAGCTTGATTTATTTAACTTGCTGTGAACGAAAATATGAACTACAACTTCAGGAAGACTATAGGCCTATCTTCTTTTTTAATAACAACATAATTATTTGTGTGTGGACGCACACACACACACAGGTGAGTGAGCACATGCACATGTATACCCATGTGTGTAGTCTTTATATGCCAGAAAATCTCCTTCGAGTCCAATTGGAGTCCTATTTCATTTTTAGCTAGTTATTATTGTCTGGTTCCAAGTGAAAATCAACTATTAATTCAGATTACTCATATTATTTCCCTCCAACACCAAAAAGGTTGTAATTAAGGAAGTGTTTCTTAGTTAATATTTGGAGGAAAGGAAAGTGTGGTTATGAATCTCATTCTGCAGCAAGCATGTCGAAAATTTATGTGTAATACAAACAGATTTTATTGAAAGTAACCCATTCCTTACAAACTGGACTCAACTTTGGGTTTCCCCAGCTTCTTTTAGTGATATGCACATTGTGATTTTCCTCAGGGTACAGAGCAGTTACTCTTCACTTCTACAGCATCTTGGGAGCAGGAAATCCTTCCTTGCCTTTCTATTCCCCCATTTATGCCATTTATGCCATGCTGGACTTGGGTAACAAGGCAGTTTGTGGGCTGCTTTCTAGTCCCACCACGCAGATCTTTCTTCTGCTTCTGAACCTTTCTGGTCACAAGAATTCCAGGGCCTGATCTTCTGTCCTTGGGCTCCCTTTTCTCCATTCAGAAATCTTCCTAGAGTCTCTGTAGAGGAACTGAGTTTCTAAGACCCATAGGTTATGTCACCCTTTCCAGGAAGCAGGAAAGGCAGGCACCTTTCAGCTAAGTAAATGGACAATTGGGGATAAACAAAATGCAGGGTGGCAACCATTATTCTGCCATATTTTGGTAGACTAAAGAAAACCAATTCCCTTTGTCTTTACTCTCAAAACTTTCCCCCCTAAAAGTCATTATTTGCTCATAGTGCCTTCTTTACTAAGTTCAGAATGAAGTAGGGGTGGTAGAAGGGTGAGGTGGTCTGGAAGGTTGGGGTCAATATCAGCTATCATCCTGAGGACTCTGCTTTTCTCTGCACGGTGGTTTCACTTCTCCAGCCTTCTCTGCTGGGAGGAGACATGACCAGCATCGTTTCTCAGAATATATATATATGAAAGAAGATTGGGCTCCTTCCTTTTGTAGCTGAAAGAATACATTCCTTTGGAAGCATTATGATGAGCTTTACTTGAGTCATCCATTTGACCTTGGACAAATCACTATGGCCATGTGAAATGAAGATTATTACATACCCAGAATGGTCATGTGCCAATACAAGTCCCTCAGGAGTACATTGAAATTAGATGCCCTATCACAACTACATGACTACAATAGCCAAAAAAAGGGAAAATAGAAATGCTCTTATGTAGAGAAAAACAGTTGGTGCTTATCTCAAATACCTATCAAACTCTGTTTTAATTCTGGGTAATGTATCATGGAGCTACTGATTTGTAACAAACAGCTCTTAGTTTATCTGAATATAACAAAAAAATCTTTCTTATTCATCAAGTTCAGCTGAATGATTGTAATTCTTACACCTGAACTAACAGAATGGTTTATATCAATTACATCTTAGTTTAAAAAAAAAAAAGCAACTAATTCTTAGTGCAGCAGCAGCAGCAATTTATTCGACAATTGCAGGTTCTCTCCTAATAAGGTACAGCCTGTTGTTTATTGGGGATCTGTATATTACAGCCAGTTTGGGGGGAGGTGTGCGTGGTGAGGGGAGGGAGGGCACAGTGACAGGCACACATGGATGGGGGAAATGCACACTAAACCAATTTCTGTCTTGGTTAAAGGGGAAAAAAACTACAAACAATATCCTACTCATAAAAATGTGGGCTAGAAAACCTGATTGTTTGTACTCTGGCATTTATGTATCTGTTCTCATTTGATATATTCAGTTTATTTGGATACTACCATCCACAGGCAGAATACCTAAAAGTGGAAGCAAGTATCCCGAAGGAAAAAGTATTAACAAAAGGAAGTATTAACAAAAGAAAAGTATTAACAAAACGTATTAACAAAAGATGGCCTCGGGCAGGCTGGTCAGTAGAAGCAGACGGTGTGCAGGAAGGGGCGGCCGCTTTTCTCCTCGAACTCCTGCAGCAGCTCGTCCATCTCGTTCTCCATGTCCTCCATGTGCTGCAGGCACTGACAGAGCTCGCAGAGGAGGAAGGCGCCCAGGGTGGCCTCCTCGTGGTTGTCCTGGATGTCGACATTGACCACATGCACCGGCTGGCAGGTCTCCTGCTCTCTGGAGGTGAGGTCTTCCACCACCTGGTCGTACACTCTCTCCTCGCAGGTGAGGATCAGATCGAACTGATCCTTACAGTTCTGGAACCTTTCTGGCCGGGGTTTGATTCTCTTATTTCTGTCCAACATATGTAAGATGCCATTCTGCGTATAGAGTTCTTTGTCCTTCCTCAGGAGATCATTGTACATCTGCTCGTACGTGGTTTTGAAATCGTAAACATTGGGCTTGTCAGGGGCGGGTCCCGGCAGCTTCACGTGAGTCCCTGTTCCGAAGGACCGGACATTGAAGCCCCGTTTGCTGAGGATGTTGTGCGCCTCCATGCTCCGGTTCTGATTGCTCGAGCACACCACGGCCACCCGCAGCAGCGCCGACATGGCACTCACTTCGGCCCACGCCTCCTCAGGGATCTCAGCAGGCAGGGAAGCTTCCGGCCAACAAGATGGCGGCAGTTGGCGGCTGGAAGTTATGACGCCAGCGACGTAGTGCGTGGGCGAGCACGGGTTCCCACTGCGCATGTGCAGAGTGCTGGGCACCTGCGGAGGGAAGCACCAGTGTCCTGGGTGTCAGGCTGGTTGGAGAAGTTGCAGCGTGGGTACCACGAAGAGTCGTTCTGCAGCCTGGAACCGTTGCTGTTCCTAACAGCAGCTGTTTGTAAAGCATAATTCTAATAAAAGACTGTAATATGTGTCTTTATCATTTGCGATGAGTCCTATATTTCCCTTTGCCCGTGTTGGAGTGCATTTATCAAGTTTAATTGGTTGTCTGAGTGAATCTTTATTTATTTTTTTGAAGATTTATGTATTTATGCATAAAAGGGCTGGGTTACAGGCCAGAGATGCGGGGAGGGTGAGAGGATTCACCAGAGAGAGCGGGGAACAGAACAGGCAGATGTAATGTAATACACTGCTGAGGGGAGCAGCGGGAGAGACAGGAGAGGTCTGCTGTGCCATGTGGGTAGCTCCTTGGTCAGGAATTGAACTCCTGCTGCAGAGGCTGCGGATAGGTTGCGTCTTAACTCCTTGCACAATCAGGGAGACCCCACCAGTGAATTTTTAAAAGAGAACTTAGGATGGTAGCTAATAGTACAAATCAGTTTTGTTTAATTTGAAATTAGAATCTTATTTGCTGTTCAACTGTTTTGTACACTTTAATGCACAGCTAACACTTAAAAACTTTGGCCATAACAATAATCCAAAGGGTTCATGGTAAGAAAAATATTGACTTATTTAAATATTGATTGATTCAGTAAGAAAAATACTGATTGGCTTATAAGATCAAAGGCTAATAAAAGCCTTATTATTAGCCTTTAAGAAATTTTTCTTACCTGGGTACTATAAAGAGCTCTAAATGTTTAAAAATTTGCTTGTCATATTAAATCTTCAATCCACTTGAATTGTTTTGTGTGAAAAAAGCAGGTATCCAACCCAAATATTTAGTAAACCAACAAAAAGGTGTTCAATTTTTACTGGAAAACAGCAAAACAACCTACAAACCTCAGGTGAGAAACAATTTAATAAGCCTCGGATTGATTAAAAACAAATGTATCGGACAAAGCTAGTTTTGTCAAGGTGGGGAAATGACACCCGTCACAAATGGTAGGCACACAATCAGTATAAACACTTTGGAATACAGTAAGCTTGAAGTGCATATCTTTTGACTCTGCTTTGAGTCATCTTTTGACTTCTAGGTATATACACTGGAGAGACAAAGGCTCTAGAGACCTATACAGAAATGTTTGTTGCTTCATTTGTGTTAATGTGGCTATTTGAAAGGAACCTGCATATTCTATTAGGATGCTATAACAAAATACCATAAACTGAATTACTTACATGCAAAGAAATACAGTGAACCTTGTTGAATGTGATGTCTCTGGCTCCAATTTAGCTGGAAAAAAGCCTTTTCTGTCTTCTCCATGTATGAACTATTCTATACCTAGCCAATGAGCTTCAGTCAAATCTTCTTTTCCCTTAGTCCACTTGTTAGCTAATAAATTGAATGCCTGGTACCCCAAACCCATATTACTTCATTCCCTTTCTTATGTGGCTAGGCAGATTTGAGTTTTTCTCCCATCTCCTTGATTTGCCAATTGATTTGCAATACAGCGTTTTTCTTTTCTCAAAACCTGGTGTCACGGTATCCCCTTCTGTGCATATCAGGCAGTGAAACCATTGCTCTGTAACAAATTCTATTGCTAACTAACCATTTACTGATGTGTAAGGTAAGAAGTCTAACTTACATAATCACTAAGGTATTTTTTAACCTAAATTATACATGGTTCTGTAGCTCACTGGAAGCATGAATAAAGGTAATTCCTGTTTTGTATGCACATGTTTCCTTGATCTGAACTAAAATCTTTTAATAATTGTTACTAATAGAATATACAGATAAGACTTGAAAAGTCTTATTTATAACAGAATGCTTGCTATTCTGTGTATATACAAATATATATAAGAATGTACACTGAAATACCCAAACTAACATTTTATTATTTTATGGTATGAAACTTTATGGTATGAAAATACAAAATAAATTTTTGGTCTAAAACCAAATCCACCAATTGTCAGTTTTTCTTTCTATGTAACAGCCACATCATCTTTGCCTATTGAAACATGATTTGTCTTAGATTGTATCTGAGATGTCAACTTAACTAGGATGTTTCTAATATCCATAGTGAGAATGAATTTTTCCTTTTTCCTTCTCTCAGCCCTTGCTTTAACCCTCTATTGAATCATGTGGCATACTCTGGTAAGTATTAGGGATGTGAGTATGTGTTGTGTGTGCACATGTGTATGTGTAACAGGGTGGTCCCCAGGAAAGGGGGAGGTTCCCTGCCCCTCCCAAGGGAGGGTGGAGCTGAGCAGGAAGAGGAGAAGCTGCAGAAGAGACTGAGGAAGGAAGCAGGATGGAGCCAGGAGACCTGGAGGAGGCGCATGGAGCCTAGAGACACGTAAAGAAACTGCGCTTGTCTTTTGGTCGTGGACTGGGTGACACAGATGTGGGTGAGACCCGTGGGGAGGTGACCATGGCAGCTTTTATCTTGATGTTGATTTTGCTCTTTTCCTTCCGGGCTTGTCCGGTTGTTTGTGACCCTTTGCTGTGGGTCCCCACTGGAAGATGCTTTAGACTTTTAGCAGGCTTTGGGGCCTTGTTCTGGGCCAATCCCATTTGGATGGACTTTTACCCACGAGGGGATGGGTAACTTTGGGTGCTTCATTTAGAAACTAGACTCTTTGCCTTACCTGTATTGTTTCCTAGTTTTATTAAAGTTCCTTCCCATTAAAGTCTCCTATGTTTTGTGTTGATGCGGCGGATGGCAGAACCCATGTAGAATAGGCAGGTTTGTGGGGTTTGGGCTGCCCCTCTCCCTATCCTATAACATATGGACACACACATACCCCCAACATATTGTTAGTTCTTTGAGGGTAGAACTGGAATCTTACTGATCTTTCTGTCCAAACAATGTAGCACCTTGCATAAAGTAAACATACAATAAATGTTTGTTGGATCTCATTTCTGTGTCCTCTAATATATGATGCTAACTGTTCTGATTCATGCAACTCCTTGACTTCCTTAATTCCTAAGAAATTTACTTGCCAGAGATTAAAAACCACAAAGTGCAGAAAGAAGAGATAAAACACACAGATTGTCTGAGTCTTGGAAGGGATATATTACAGATGGAATTGACATTGGCAAGACACCAAATAGCATAAAAATATGGCAGTATTCATTAATTCTACCCAGTAAATAAACAAAGTTAATTTACCTTCCGGATTAGTCATAGGTCTATTACTTCTGGCCCAAACAGGGGTAGAGGCTTGCAGGCTCTTTAGGTGGTAGAACAGTTTGACCAGAGAAAGCTATATGGGCCTTCCTAAAGGTATTCCATACTGAGACTGCAGCTTATAGAACAGATCAAAGGGGCCCCACTGGGGAGAACCCTTGGTCTTGAGTGTGAGGAAATAGACTCCTTTTGTTTCTGTGGCAATGGTAGGAAATTGACCTTATCATCAGGTATCTTGCAAGATCTTTGCTTAAGGAAGAAAGGCCCCAAGCAGGGTTCCAAGCAACCAAGCCAGAATGTACCCTCCACCATTTATTTCCAGCACCAGAGTTCATTTCTCAGTAAATGGTTCCTTGGTATAAATTCTCCACTAATTCAGGTCATTGCAAACCACTTTCATAGGCCTTTTTAATGGAATGATGGGGAGAGTGTGCTTGGTTCAACGTGAGGGGAAAGAAGACAAAAATGAGTAAATGTTCTTATCTTCCAAGCTGTCGGTAACACAGGAGAAAATTTACATGTCCACACTAGTTAGGGAGGTCCCTGAACTGTTCCTGAAAGAATTCCTCATTTTATCCAATGTCCTGAATCCCTCATGAAGAGGAAAAGATAAGTAGTTTGTGTGGACTGAGTTTAGAATTTAGACAATTTCCAACTTCTTTGTTCTCATAGTTTTAAATTCCTTTCCCTTCAGTTATTTGCTCCATTAATCATTAACAGATATCCCAAAAGTGAAGGAACCTTAATGGGCCTGAAGGGCAAGCCTGGAGCCAAAGACTGTTACAGGGAGGATGAATAGACCCAGGTCGAATATGCAGGGAAGGAGGAATGGGTGGGAGTGGGCACTTTGATAGCAAATATAGGGGACCACAGAAGTAACCCCCAGGGTCATTCCAGCCCCCACTACTCTGATCTTCCAGACTGCTGAAGGTCTCCCAAGGATGTGGAGAGGCCCATACTGCAGAAGAAGGCTATTCTTGGCTTTTCGTTCAGAATACATGTTTCAGGTAGTTAGTGCCGGGAAGATGCCATCTTAGCCCTTTTATTGGGAATGTGTTCTAGATCTTCAGTGGCGGGAAGAAGCTATCTTGGACACCTTTTTGTTTAGGACTTCTAAACACTGAACAATATTTGGAGTGAGATAACTGGTCACTTGTGGCCTCTGTGACTCTGTTTTCCCTTGTTTGTTAAATAAATCCCATTACTGTTGTTCCCTGAACCTGAGTGGTCTTGCAGTTTGTGTTCGGGTGAAGAACTCAGATAGTGAACAGTAAACTATTTGCACTGGTGAAAATGTCATTGGCCAGTTTTAGTGCCCCTTAATGCCCACTAACAGAACAAGCACACATATGACCAGATTACTGTCTTTAAGGAGTTTATAACCATTTTATGGAGAAAAAGTTCATCTCCTTACATTTGTTAGCCACTCTGGGACAGAAGCTGAAAGAGCAGATTTGACATCAAAGCACAGACCTACACCTCCCCCACACTAGGGAGGGACAACAACAACACAGGTATGAAAACCTGGTAGTTACAAGATGCACCATAAAGAGTGTTTCCACAACAGACCTTCCACAGTAGGAAGCAGAAACTTAGAATCTTGTCTTACACCAGCATTTGAACAAATCCAGGATTCAAATGGCAAACATACCCAAAACATATTGTGTAGACAAAATTCACAGCAGCAAATCCTTTCAGACTCAGACAAAATCTTTTTAATTTTTCTGATCCAGACTTTGCAAAAATTCAAGTTATCTTCAAGAATCCATCAAGGCTACCAGCAATTACCAGTTACTGTTTAAGGCTATTCTGCAGTTGGCTTGCAAAACCCCTTAGGCAGAGGTCAGGAAGTTGTGAAGACAAAGGAACATATTACTGAAAAATCATTATTGCCTTTAGAAATGCTAATGAGACAGCAGAGATCACAAAAAAAAAGGTCCAAAGTCCTAGCAACAAGAACCTCTGAGTTTTACAAGAGCCCATCAAGCGGCCACACACGCCATCTTTGGTCTGGCCACTTGTTCCAACATACTACCTAATCTTTTGAGTAAAACTGTTGCACAGAATAATTTTTACAAAATCAAATCTCTTGGCAAGTGACTACAAACAAATTATAGACAGACACACAGAATATTCACAAAACCCAAGCCAGTTTTTCAACAGCAAATCTACATATGAAACAAACACACTAAGGGAAACCAAAAATCACATTTGCGCTTATGGTAGCCAGTGTCATAGGGAAGCCCAGTTTCCCCATGGGGCTGACTAACTATGATGGCTCTGACCTAAATCACGTTGGGCACCAAATCTGTTACAGGGCAGGGAGAGGGGTACCCCAGACCCCACAAAACTGCCTGCTCTAAATAGGTTCTGCCATCTGCCGCATCAACACAAAACATATGAGACTTTAATGGGAAGGAACTTTAATACAATTAAGAAACAATACAGGAAAGGCAAAGAATATAGTTTTTAAATCGAGCACCCAAAGTTAGCCGTTCCCTCGTAGGTAAAAATCCACCCAAGCAGGATCGGCCCAGAGCAAGGCCCCAAAGCCTGCCACAAGTCTAAAGCACCTTCCAGTGGGGACCCACAGAAAGGATCAGAAACAACCAGACAAGTCTGGAGGGAAAAGAACAAAATCAAAATCAAGACAAAAACCGCCATTGTCACTTCCCTACGGGTCTCTCACCCACATCTGTGTCACCCAGTCCACGACCAAAAGGCAAGCGCAGTTTCTTCACGTGTCTCTCTGCTCCTTGCGCTCCCTCCAAGTCTCCTTCTGGCTCTCCATCCTGCTTCCTTCCTTCCTCAGTCTCCTCTACAGCCTTTTCTCTCCCTGCTCAGCTCCACCCTCCCTTGGTTGGGGCTGGGAACCTGGAACTTCCCCCTTTCCTGGACACCACCCTGTTACAATTCCTGTCCATACTCCTAACTCTGAGCCTTGTGGCTCTCTAAGGAAGGAAAACTAAAGTTTCCTGAGATGCAAGGCCAGCTAGGCAGAGAGAGAGAAAATCAGTAGCTCGGTCTCCTTTGTCAATTGCAGGAGCTCCTGGCCTTGGGAAATGACTGGCTGCAG